ATTTTATTCAACGGGCTATATTACTAATTCCCCGAGTTTCTTATCGCGTCTTCACTGATGGCTAGCTGAAAAGAAAAGAAAAAACGATCTGCAGCTAAAATTTCTGACTGCACTTGAACGTTATATGTATTTGAGTACTTTAACATGCGGTGTGGTGTCCAAGCCAAATTTACAGGAGTTTACTACTAGAAAGAAGATTCAAGATCATGGATTTATGAGGAGTGGGTTAGAATAATCTAACCTAACATTTACAGTTTAAATTTTAATTTAATTAGTCAGCTTTTGTAACATACAGTTCAATAATATCAGTCAGGTAAAGTTGTCTGCCTAATGACTTTTGTATAAATGAAACTGAAATTAACAGCTTTGTTGGTTACACATTGTGATTTCAGAAATAGTAATTAAGGCATATTTTTGCCCTTAGCATGATTTCCCAAAGGCACCTTCAACATGTGAAGTTGTAACGACTATAAGTGTACAACACGTTTCTGTGTGAAAATAGAGCTAAAGATGTGACGTTGGGTTTGACCCATAGAGAAAACCATAATTGACTGAGTCATTGGGCCTCGTTTGACAGAGTTGTAATAAAACCAGCTGGGTAAAACTTAACTAGATCTACTTCCTTGTTATAATTCCCTAACATTGTGTCCAGCATAATTTACCTTTGTGTTTTTCCCTTACTTTGTTTATCTCTTGACTTTATTTGAACATCAGTTTATGCCACTTATAAGCCTATTTAAAGCGTATAACAGNTCCCAGCAGTCTGTGCGTCTGGACGACTGTTTCATGAAGGTGAGTCACGTCCAGATGACCACGATTCACCCCCATGTGTCATTAAAACCATTCCAAACTCGGAAGAGTTTAAAAGATTATTCCGTTTATTTTGTTTGTTTGTTTTTAAATCACAGGGGCATCTACGTGAGGGCAAGTGCCACTTGTCTTTGGGGAACGGCATGGCGGCCAGTCGCTGCTTTCAGAAGGTCCTGGAGCTGGATCTCAGCAACAGAGAGGCCCAGCAGGAAGTGGGAACTTTTTTAAATTTTAAAAGAAAGCGTTGGCTTTGACTGCAAGTTGAGCTACATCTGTGTAGTTGGTTTGTTTCAAATGACAAACTGAATGTTGATTCGTTTTAGAAAAAGAACGCATCAGTGCTGCTGGAGTACGAGCAAATGGCAGATTTCGCCTTCGATAAACGGGATTTTCGAAAGGTAGTTTTATTAAACATCAATGCTTCTGTTTATCTTGTGTGACCTGGGAAGGTTTGTGTCACATGTCCAACAAAAACTCATGGAACAAGCTGTGAATTTCTCTTTCGCCTGCTTGATTTGTTGTCAAAGTCCTATTGCTCATATTTTTG